ACTTAAAAAAAACTTTAAAGTACTTTGTTTATTCTAGATTTTGTCTGCAATTATTTTTCAATTTGATTTACCTGGATTAAAGACTTTTTTACTTGTCATTTTACTTATTTTGACATGTCTATTTATAAAATCTAGTAACACTAGGCTTTGTTAACCTATTTTTCTGTAGATTGATTATACTTAGTCCTCCTATATGTAAAATGAGGGGATTGACTTAATAATAACAGTAAGTTTACTATTATGAAGCTTTCATTACAGTGTTAAATATTAGGTACAATCTCATATTATCTTTACAGAATCTTGTGCTTTCCTAGGTATAATCTCCATGATTAAACTCTCATTTACAGAAGTTATGTAACTTGTTCAAGGATTTACAGTTAATAGGAAAGCTAGGTTTGACTTAGTAGTTCATGCTTTTTATCTTTTATAGCTCCGAGGTTATTTTCATTCATTCACTCATTCATTCATTCGAAAAGTATATGTGAGGCCAATCATAAATGTAGGGATTGTAGGCCACGTAAAGGATTTTTCATTTTAAGTGTGATGGGAGATCTTGAAAGATTTTGAAAAGGGGAATGATAGGCGGGGATTAGTATTTTTAATCATTCTGGTTGTACTGTGGAGAGTTGAATCTGATGGGAAGGGAGCAAGAATGGAAATAAGGAGACGGGTTTGGAGACTATTGCAGTAGTCCAGGTGAGAGAGAGCATGGTGGCTTGAACTAGGATGGTAATTGTAAAGAAAGGGGTTAGTGGTTGGTGTCTGGTAGGGGTGATAGAATTTAAAGATGTTTATCATTGGTCAGGTACAGACACTCAGACACCAACTGATCAAAATTGGGTGCTGGCTTTAGGACTGGAGCAGGATCCTGGATGAGCCCGCCTCTACCAGGCATTACCCCTATAGTTGTTTGCGGAGAGGTCTAGATTTTCTCAAGGGAGGGGCTGGGAGAACTGGGAAGGGAATGCTGGATACTTGAAGCAGCATTTGTTTACTAGCAATCATTGAAACACTTGCGTATTTTAACAGTTGGAAAAGCTGCATCCCTGTTAATGAATACCAGTCCGAGATTTGTTGGTGGGTTGAATATGGATGGGCTGTGGGGGAAAGAGGGAACTCAAGAATAGCACTGTTGTTTTTGCCCTGAGTAACTGGGTGAATGGAAGTGTCATTTCCTGAGATGGAAACACTGGCGAGGGAAACATCAAGATTTTAAGTTCGACATGGTAAGTTTGAGATGATTGCGATGATTGTTACACAGCCGAGTGGTAATGTCATGTAAGCAGTTTGAATTCGAATTATTTAGAATTTGACAGGGATTGTGGGTCTGGAGATAGAAATTTGGGAAGGATCAGAGTATTATTCTACTTTATATTGTAGAATATCCTTCTTCCCTCAAAAATCTGTCTCACAGCAGCTGGAAGTTACAACATTAGAAAATCCTTCAGGTGCTCTCTGGTTTATTAAACAACACATAACCTGTGGAAAGGTAGCATATTAAATCTTTATGAAAAAATACTGTAATGTGAATTCATTTACTGTGTCCTTTTTCAAGATAGCTGAGATCTGCTCACCTGGAGGAGATCCCATATTGGTGGAGAGGAGTTGTGCAGGGAGAGTTACAGAGATGTTGTATATGGGACCAAATCATGAAGTTGTAGATAGAAGATTTTTCATGGATGTATTTTTATAAAAGGAATCTTGGATAACCTTAAACATAGATTTCAATATTAGGTGTGATGGATAGCAAAGCCTTTGTGTCTATAAAGTATTATTTATAGTTATTTCTGTTTCAAATTAATCCGTTTATAAACTTGTATTTTAATCATTTTAGTTACAGAACGTAGAAAGCTACAAATTAAGACATCTTATTTTCCTTAAACATTTAAGGCATTCATAAATATTTCATTCTATTTATAAGCTTATTAATTTAAAATAGAATTAAGAAAATCTGTGGAGTTTGGCAATAAACCATTCCTCCTAATAATTTCTAGAAGTTACATAAAATATGGTATTAACAGAGACAGGAAGAATTTTGACTACTATTTTGTGTGTATGTAGAAAATTAGGTGTTTTAGGTGCCTTAGTAAAAATTAAAAAAAACTCTAGAATCCTGCTTTCTGTATTAAATGACAATATTTAGTTTAAATAAGTTAATTTAATTAACAAATTTAGTTAATTAGTTTTCTATAATGTTGTAACAAATCACCACAAATTGGCATCTTAAAACAAATATCTGTTGTTCTCTTACTGTTCTGGAGATTAGAAATCTGAAATCAGTTTCAATGGACCAAAACCAAGATATTGTCATTTCAGGGCTACGCTTCCTCTGCAGGCTTTAGGGAAGAATCTGTATCCTTGACTTTCCCTGGGACTTTTCCCATCCTCCTTCTTCAAGGCTTACGGCTCGGCTCGGCGTCAAGCTTTGGCGGCCATACTGCCTTTTTAGGTAGTCAGATCTCTCTTTTTCATAATGACAGGGATGGTTACATATAGAGGCCCCTTGGCTAATGCAGGGACTACTACCCAGCTCAGTATACATAATTTAATCATAACTGCAAAGTCTCTTTTGCCACATACAGTGACATTCACAAGTTCCAGTGATTAGGACCTGGATACCTTTGGGGGGCATTATTCAGCCTCCCACAAACCTAATCTGAAGTATTTTGCTCTAGTGCAAATTTTATAATCATTTTACTGATTTAAATATATCCCTCTCTTAAGAGTTTTACAGGCCATCATTCCTCACTGATCTTTTTGCCAAGTAATAGCCAGATATTATTTGACTGCTTCCAACTTTGTGCCTTTAGGTGATACACCGTTTTAACTATTCAGAAAGCATTTTAGATTCATAGAAAAGTTGCAAGAGTAAGAGTAGTACAAAGAATATCTGAATGCCCTTTACCCAGATTTACCTATTGTTGACATTTTTTCCCTATTTGTTTTTTATTCCTGACTTACATGATTTAAAATAAATCTACATTTACTTTTTAAGAAAACAAGATAGAAAATTCATACCCAATATATGTGTTACTTATATATTATATTCATATGATCTCATTTCTCTTCAGTTAAGTTAGAGCTGGCAAACTTTTCTGTAAGGGACCATATAAGTAAATCTTTTGGGCTTTGTAGGCCGTATGATCTCTGTTGCAGTGACTCTACTCTGCTATTGTAGTATAAGAGCAGCCATAGAATATAAATGAGTGAACATGGTATATTCTAATAAAACTTTATTTATAAAAAAGCAGTTAGTAGGCTAGATTTCGCTTATGGGCTGTTGTTTGCCAACACAAGTTAAATGATTTCCAAGTGACTTAGAATTGTAGTTCAAAAAAAAGTTTTTTGAAAGCAATCTGTTCTTTTAATTTCTTCCTTTACCAAGAAAAAGTCTATAGTCTTTATACTCAGAAATAATAAGATTTTCTATATTTAATTTAACATATTGTGTCATTATCAGGGATAATATATGGTGCTACCTAGTTTGTACCTGGAAAATACAGACTCATAGAATATAGGCATTGAAAAAGGCTTTGAAGATGAAAGAAATCATGGATGAGTGAATAAATAAGCAAGTGAAAACTATAGACTAATGTTTCTCAAATCAGAGTCCGTTTGGAAGTTTTAAAATCTTGTTACTCAGTGATAGTCTAAAACTTTTGATATAAGCAAATTAAAGATCAAGTGATTGTTCTTGTAATTGAGTAAAAATGCCATTTGATTGCAGTGCTAGCATTTGTGTTGACTATTGAGTTGGGACCAAATAGTACCCTTATTATAGGCTAAAAGAATATTGCTGAAGTGTACTGATACTTTTGTGACATGTGAAGGTCAAATGGTGATATGGCATATTCCATGAACTAAAAAGGTTTATAAAAGGTAGAGAAAAGAAATGTGATGGGAAAATTATTTCAAAATAGTATAGGTATGTTAAAATTATGTAGAAATGGTGCTATAAGAATAAGTATCATTTACAACTTGGGACCAGTGATATAATTTAAATGAAACAATATTATCCATCATATTAATTAAACATTAATTTTATTGGTTTTATAAGTTTGTTTGTATATGTAATCTATAAATTTATGTTGGTTTTTATTCATAAAAGAACTTTAAACATAGGGGTTTATATCTAGTTTTTGAGTATATTTTAGTTTAATTAGAATTAAAATAATATATGAGCCCTTAAGTTTGATGAAAATACATTTTCTTTAGAAGCATTCCTTCCATTACTTAAGTTTGAGAAACACTGATCTAGGTTAGTCCTCTACATTTTACAGATGAGAAAACAAGTACTCATGAGTAACATCAAGAATATCTATAGGAAAAGGAAGTGTTTTCAACTTAAAGTATTTAAGTTGTACTGCACTAATTTAATAGTTTTGATTTTATTATGCATAGTGATTTTTTTCTGTTTGAAGATAATAAGCTTCCCTAATGATACCAATTTCGGCTGCTCTTAATAATGCTAAGAAAAATATAATTTTAGTCTTTATATTTAATAGTTTGTAATGTATAAATGCTTTCATTCCACTGTCTTTTAAAATATTAAATACTTATAATAACTCTGAGGGGATAGATTATTATTTCTATTTTATAGATAAAGTCTTGATGATGGGAGAGGTAAGCAGACTTGCCTAAGGTCACTCTTACTGTAAGTGACAGAACTGGGATTTGAGTACATTGCTTTCTATTCTAATATTCTAGTAGCATACTAAAGTAAATCTGAAATTTTATATTATTGAAATGATTCTTTCAGACTGTGATAATTATTTGAACATATCCAAGTCCAATTGAGTGTATGATTTTTTTCCCCTGCAGACATTACGTTTACTATTAGAATTTTTCCTGTAACTTGTACTTCAGACCATTTATCATGTATGATACATTTATAAATATAATGAACATTGAATTCTTAAATTCTCCTGATCCATGTATTCTATGTTGGTAAGGTCTTTGCTTAATGCATTATGTTCTTTTATTTTCATGTTTTTAAATAGGTCCTGATTGTTCTTTGAATGTTCCTTCTACTGAGTCTTACTGGATTCTGCCAAATGTTAAACCCTTCAGTCCATCTGTAGGTCGGGCTTCCCATAAGGCAGTTTTACATGGGAAATTTATGTGGGTGATTGGTGGATATACTTTTAACTACAGTTCTTTTCAAATGGTCCTGAAGTAAGTATTTTTATTTTCAGATTTTCACACAATATTTTCTTTTATTAAGGTATCATTGATATACAATCTTATGAAGGTTTCACATGAGCAACATTGTGGTGATAACATTCACCCATATTATCAAGTCCTCCCCTCACATCCCATTGCAGTCACTGTCCATCAGTGTAATAAGATGCTCTAGAATCACTACTTGTCTTCTCTGTGCTATACTGCCTTCCTTGTGACCTGCCTACATTATGTGTCACACACTATTTTTTTAAGCTGGACTTCTTGGTAGTAAGACTATCTGAAATGTCTTATCTTATTGCTCTTCAAATTTATGAGTAGTTATTTTTGTGAAAGTTATTTTTTGATAAATGTTTTATGATTATTTTTGTGATTACTACATGGACTAATTTGAGAATATATTAACTCAGTATACCCATAGTTAATTATTTTTCTTTATGTGTAGAGGTGTGATTTGTATGAAATTTTCATTCTCTCTCTAGAGTGCTTTTAATAAATTCTGAGTAAAAAAATACCAACTTTGAATAAGGGCAGGCCATGCTTGTACTGGGCATCACGAATCCTACCTTTTTTTTTTAGAATGAAGTGTAATTGCTTACATAAAAATACTTTCAGTTTGTTCTGTAAATTTTAATTTACCTAGACTTTTACTTTGCATTTAATTTTATAAGCTTTTATAAAGAGTTTGGGAGTTAAGAGAATGGTGCCAGTATTATAAAATATATCATTAATTTACTGTTGGCTCAATAGAGATCATGCTTTACATTATTGGATGCTATCGGGAGTCGCATGGATGTAGCTTTAGCTGATTTTTCTTTTCAGTTGGTGATTGTATTTTATGAACCATTCAATAACAGAATTAAAAAGGAAATGGGATAATTTGATCATTAATGTTTTCAGGGATGATATTCATAATATGTAATAACTGATACACCTTGGGCAGTGGCCAGTCAGAACAGACCCTGGACAATATACCACAATGGATTTACACAGGACACCCAGTTAAATTTGCAATTCAGATAAACCATGAATAATTTTTTAATACACAGAGGCCCTTTACAAAAAGCAAACACACACACATATATATATATATGTATATACACACACATATATATGTATATATATATTTTGATTTTTGTCCCAAATATTACATAGGTCATACTTGTACTAAAAAAAATTTGTTGTTGATCTGAAATTCAAATTTAACTGGGAATTCTATATCTGGCAACCCTACCCACTTAAAATATTAACCATGTTAATGTGGAAGATATAAAAATTTCTCTGTATGAGGGGAGATTGCCTTAAAACTATGATTGAATATGACTACAATGAAAGTATAAAATAAATTCTGGAAAGAGCGAGGAAGAGTTTTAGGTAAATAATTTAAGTGAACAACTAGAATTCTTTAGTATATATAAGGATAAAATATAGTAGAAAGAACTGAAGGAAAGTTGGTAGGATTAAAATGAATTGTTAAATTGTTAAGGTATGAAAAAAAACCTGAAGAGATAATGAGATTTAAGTGTGGAAATGAAGAGGAAATTATAATTAATGAAAATGAAAAGGCTGTGAAAATAAAATTGAACTTTGGATTAAATTATGGGATTTGCAAGAATTGTGAAGATGAAAGAGTATACATGTCAAGGAAACATGGAAATGTTAAAAGTTTGTGTTCTGTACAAGTTTAATAGCATATTTAAAATTAAGTGATGAATATTACTTGATATTCTCCTAAACTCATATATTTTCTATTTGAACTGGATGGTTTAACTTTTTTTGGGCTGAAACCTGGTTCTTTTGGTTACAGTGTTTATTTAATTTTATAATAAGCTATGAGGTATCAGAAGTAACTTTGTTGTTGTTATCACAGGTTAGAAAATATTTTTCATTATTCTGAATGTAGTTCAGTTGTAGGTAAGTATATTTAAATAGCTTTTAGAAGTGATAGTGTCAGTTATAAGTTAATTTATCTTCTATAGTAGATTTTAATTAAGGTGTAGATGTTACATTTTAAGATGAAATTATTCAGTAAATAATATAAAAGGTTTGTATTAATGTCTATTCAATTAGAGAGTATTTTACTGAATATATAGTCATTGACTGAAAATTAATGTATATGCATGGGCACAGAAAACTACTTTCAACGTTTGTGCTTGATACTTGGTCCTGTGTGCTTGGTACTTGGAATATATTAGTGGACAATATAAATATTGCTGTCTTTGTGGAGTTAGTGAGGAAAGACAGGCAGATAAAAAAAAATGGTTATCATAATAAATAAGTGTAAGTAAATTATGTGTTGCCCATTGAGTGTGTTGTGTTTTCTTGGTTCTTCTCAAAGGAAAGAATCCACTAAAAGAGACAAACTTAGAACAGGCTTAAGCAGCAGGAGTTTATTAACACAAAGTGAAATTATGCTCTGGAGAAGGGAGGAGAGTGGGCTGTCTGGAAACCAGAAGCTGTCCTGCCATTAGGGTTAGGATTGGTTTTTTAAATGGTGGAAAGGCCCTTCTTGCCTTGTATCATTCAATTGACATGGTGATTGACAGTTTCAAGTTATAGAACTTTCTTCCTAGTGCGCAGGCAGTTAGCCGTAAGTACTCAAGCAAAACCCAGGGTAAGAGGGGGCAGGGGTGATGGGGGTGGTGTCCAAAACCACAATGTAAAGTTATTATAATAATTTATTATAAACTTATTATAACTCCGAGTTAGCTCTTGGTCACCTTTTGGGTCTTAGTGTGCCTGCAGCCGCCTGTGTTAGTGGTCTGAAAGCCTTTCTGTGCTTTTTACACCTTGTTCGGACTTGATCAGGCAGGAGGCTGAACCATAAACAGGAGGGGTTTCAGCTGTGTTCTGCCATCTGGTGACAAGGGGGTAGGTGGAGAGGGGGAAGACCTTGTCCGGGACAGGGCGGACCGCTCGTATCTGCCCAGCTGCCTGACATATGCGCGTATATGCATGTCTAGAGATAGATACCAAAATAGCATGGGTAAGCAAATCCGAAGTGCCCAAGAGGAGGGAGTTGCAATTACAAATGTAGAGGTGAAGACAGGCTTCATGGGAAAGGTGAGGACAGAGCAAAGACTTGAAGGAAGTTAGACCGGCAGTGCAGCTCTCTGGAGGCAGAGAAAAGAGCCAGACAAAAGCCTTAAGGTAGGAACTACTTGGAGAGCATATGTGACTTGCATGGACTACATGAGAGGGAGGCGTGAAATTAGAGGGATAATTGGGAAGGGAGACAGATCACGTAGGGTGTTGTGGATCTTTTGGGAGTCACAGGAATGTTTGAACATGCTTTGACTTGTATTTTAAGAGTCACTGGGCCTACTGTGTTGAGAATATACTGGGATTGAGAGGAGTAGTAGAAACATGGGTTGAGATTAGATGAGATCATCGAGGAGGTGAGTTCTAGAGGAGACCACAGTCTGACCCGCCATATCGCTAGGTTGGGGAGAAGAGGAGAAACCAGCAAAGGAGACTGAAGGGGAGGGACCAGTGAGATAGCAAAACCAAGGTGTGTGGTCTTTGAAGGCAAGGGAAGAATGTGTGAGCAAGGACTGATTAACAATGTCAAATGCTGACAGTTAACCAGGTCAAGGAAAATGAGGACTGAAAGGTGGCATGGACTTCGCATGAGGAGGTTGACATCAACAAAAGCAGTTTTGCAGGAGCAGTGTTGTTAAAAGCCTGATTGGAGTTAATTGAAGAGAGAATGGAAGGGTGTAGGGAATGGCAAAAAAGAAATGGGGCATCAAAGAAATAGGGCGGTAGCTTGAAAGGGTAGTAGTGGGGAAGAGAAATTTTTCATTTTATAAATAGGGAAAAATGACACCCTATTTATATGCTGATGGGAATCGTCTAGTAAGATGAAAAAATGGCGATACAGGAAGGAGATGGGAGAACCACTGCAGTGTTTTGGGATCTGGTGCACAAGGAACACAAATTATTTATAACTGGGATTAGTAAATTGCAAAGTAGGCACCCAGGGCCTAGATACTAAGGATGGTTTTGCATTTTTAATGGGTTATAGAAAAGAACAAAAAAGAATATATGAGACTAATGTCTGCACAGCCAAATATTTACTATATAGCCCTTTACAGAAATAGTTTGTTGAACCTAAGTTATGGGAACTTGGTGAAAAGCAGTGTGTTGGATGCATATACTGGTAGGTAGATAGATGTAGTGATGTGTCTGTGAAAGTTATGTCCTGGTTGATTGCATTTCCTCATTTGTATCATACACATGTATCTTACAACTCCAAGGTAGGAAGTAAGTTACACATAATGCTAAAAACAATTTTGGTAACCCTTCCCCTTTTTGGAGCTACCTTGTCTATTCTAACAAGTTGGTGGGAGACAAAGAAGAGGAGAGAAAATAATTAATAGCTTCTCAAACAAGGTTCTAGTTAGTCCTTGGTTGGGTGCTTCCTTTTATATATTTTGGCTAATTGAGGAGATTTGAGTGTAGAGTATGATATGATGGTGACAACTGAACTGGCATTCTTTTAGATAAGCCTTTGAGATTAGTAGTTTAGAATTTCTATTTTCTTATCTATAGTTTTAAACCAGTAGAATAAATGATTTTTTTATGTTCTATAATCCAGTAGTGCCTTATTTTTACAGAAGCTTCTTTTACTAAATTGGCACAATCTCAAAAAATGACCAGTAAATATTTGTGCATAGAAAATATGTTTCTTGGTTAATTTGCATAATGGTAAGCTAATCGTGTGTAAAAGAATAAAAATGAATACATAAGGCAAATGGCTATTGTAAAAATGAAGAGAGTTTTCATCTACATTTTAAAAAAAGCTCGCTTTTTTTAAAATTAAAAAAGTGCAGAAGAGTTCACTAATGTTTAGGTTAATCAGTTGGTTGAAGTTATTAAAGGCAATTGAGTAGATCAATTCCAGTAATAAATAACTTAGTCAACTTAATGTATATACATATTTAGGTGATTGAATACTAATTTAGAGTAGGTATATCTTGAATTAGTCTTTATTAAAATTTTCTACTATGGGACATGAAATTATGAATTTATTAGTTCTAATTGTTTTTGAATTTAATCAATACTTGAACACCAGTGAAGAAAGCATATACAAATTAAAAAACAAAATGGATCTTAGCTTATAAAGTTATTGTCTTTTCTCACTTTTAGTTACAATTTAGAAAGCAGTATATGGAATGTAGGAGCTCTATCAAGGAGCCCTCTCCAGAGATACGGACACTCTCTTGCTTTATATCAGGTATGGATCCTGCTTTTTAACTTTTAATCACTTTTTTTTTCAGAGTTTGCCCTAGAGAAGAAAATATTCTCAGGTTTTTTTCCAATACATAATGAAAACCATAGATCACAATAACTTGAGATGTCATAGACTCATACACTATTTTAGTAAAAAAGTAGATTTAAGTACAATCCTCCATTGAATATGAGAAGAAATGAAGATTGAGTTTTTGTCCATGGCTCTATACTAGTCATCAGGTCAACTACATTTAAAAAAATTGTGGTAAAGTACAGTGTTTATGCCACTACCACACCCTTTTGATTACTGTAGTTTCTGTAGTAAGTTTTGGAATGAGAAAGTCCGAGACCTCTGACTTTGGGGTTGTTTTTCAAGTTTGTTTTGTCCGTTCAGAGTCCCTTAATATTCCATATGAGCTTTTGGGTGGATTTTTCTATTTCCGAAAAAATTTCATTGGAATTTTGGAAGGGATTGCATTATAATCCAGTATTTTTATTTATTTGTGGGATTCATGAATTTAGCATGATCTAAAAAAATGCCAGGATGCTTAATTGGTTTAAAATTTGAATTAACATGGATTCATGTATTTTGTGGTCTGTGAATACACCTCTCAAATGAGAATATATGTATTTTCTGTGCTTATTTAAGAAAATTTGGAAAATGTAGGAGCAATGTAAAAAATAAACTACTACATTCTTCTATGCATATGCATGTTTTAAAAATAAAATCTTTGTATATGTATTCATATATGTATATATATATATATATGCTTTTTCTTATAGTTTGGTGTATTAGTTTTTTTATTTTATTTCATTTTTTGTAACAGCTTTATTGAGATATATTGACATATGCCATACAATTCATTCCTTTGAAGTATACAGGTGAATGGTTTTCAGACTGCAACCATCTTTTGCAGATTTGTGCAAAATTGTGGGGTTGTGTGATCAATTTGAGGACATTTTCATCACCTCACAAAGAAATCATATGCCCTTTAGCTTTCACTCCAAACCTCCCTCATCTTCCGAGCTTTATAAGGATTCATGAATTTACTTCCTGTCTTTTTAAGTTTGTGTATTCTGGACATTGCATGTAATTGAAATTGTATGCTATGTGACCTATGAGTGGCATGTTGTAGCATGTATCCATACTTCATTTTTATGGCCTAAATAATATTCTAATATATGGATATGCTAGGTTTATCCATTTATGACTTGATGGACATTTGGGTTATTTCCACCTTTTGGCTATTATAAATAATGCTGCTATGAACATTCTTGTATAAATTTTTGTGGGGACATATGCTTTCATTTCTCGAGTATATACGTATGACTGGAATTACAGGTTTAAATGATAACTCTATATTTAACTTTTTGAGAAAGTGCCAGACAGTTTTTCAAAGTGGCCGCACCATTTTACATTCCCAGCAACCAAGTACGAAAGCTGCGCACATCCTTGCCGACACTTGTTTTTTCATATGATTTTGACTGAAACCATCCTAGTGGGTGTGAAGTGACATCTCATTTGTGTTTTGATTTGCATTTCTCTGTTGACTAATGATATTGAGCAGCTTTTCATCTGCTTATTGGATTTTTTAAAAGGGAAATGTTTATTCAAACCTTTTGTCCATTTTTAAATTGGGTTGTCTTTTTATTATTGAGATATGAGTTCTTTATATAGTCTAGATACAGTCTCTGATCAGATATATAATTTGCAAGTATTTTCTCCAATTCTGTGAACTTGTACCTTCATACTTTTTTTTTTGAAGCACAAAGCGTTTTTAATTTTGATGAAATCCAACTTCTTTTTTCCTTTTGCTGCTTGTGTGTAATTTCTAACTGTATTGCTAAATCCAAGGTCATGAAAATTTACCCCATGTTTCCTTTTAAGAGATGTTTTTAGTAGT